ACACAACCCGCCTCTCCAGTACCACCTTCAGCCTCTACCATGGGGACGCCAGCAGTACCGCCCAATCTGGTCCCTCACTCTCCCCTCAACTCGAACTGGCTACCCGCTTACCCACCATCAGGTTGGCCCCCTCGTTTGTGCTCCGGACCACCGGGTCCACCCACAAAACCTGCCGCAGCCGTAACCATGACTACTACCACCGCCTCAGTTACTGCCAACGCCTCGGCTCAGGCTCCGCTTTCACGCTCTGGCCCCCTCACGACTGGACAAATCGGCCACGAAACCACTCTATACTATCCAGCCTCTATAGATAAACAGTGTGTCGGGATGTCGTCAAATAAACCAAGCAACACGGTCGCCAAGGTATTCCATCGTCTCATCACACAAACCACCACCGCAAGCCCCAACACAGTCCTACCAGCGAGCCTGCACACGAGTCCCCACAGTGGATTTGGGCCGCCTCCCCTATCAGCCTTGGCCTCTGGCCACATGAGGCTTCCTTCAATGCTTTCAGAGAGTCCGTCTACAGGCGGACAACAACTACAGGCCAGTCATCCGTTGCACCACAACCAACCTCAGTACCTTCACCAACCCACCTATCCCCATTATCAGCTCTATCTGGACTGCCAACAGCAGTACCGACAACCATATCCCTCGAGTATGCCATATTCTGCTCAACAGACTGGCCAGGTCTATTTCACTCCTCTTCAACAGCACCACAAATACCTTCAACCACAACCACTAGCCCCAGCACCACCTTCACCTCCACCTTCTTCACAGTTGGCCTCGGGACAATCGTTCCACAACCAGGCCCATGTTTATCCCACCCATCAGCAGCAAAACCAACTCGCAAAGTCGATGCCGCCTCAGACGAGTGAACCAACAGAGTCTGGAGGCCCTTTAACCCTGCGAGAATCTGTGGCATCGACGGCGGTAGATGCGAGGACGGCCCAGCGCTACCACCTCGCCTATCGACAGTCAATGGCGCCTGAAGCGGGGGCAGATGCACCGGAAGGACGGAGCTGGAAGGGCTTTTATGAGACGTCAGAAGGCAGGCCAGAATTAGAATCGACAAAAAGATGGGCAATGAGCCCGAGGGAAAATCAG